TTTTTAAAAAGATTTTTATCGGTGTGGTTTTAACATTTCGTCGTCTTTTTTGTTGTTTAGGCAGCCGATGCCGTCTTTTTTTGAACATGGAAACGGTGCGTATTTTGGTGAGAAGTTAAGAACGGTGTGCATTACAATCCCATGACGTAATAAAAAACCAAAGTCGACATAGCTTAGAGCGATGAACCCTTCTAACAAAGACTGATGAACCCTAATTAGCTAAAGAGAGTACTTTTGAGTTGCGTTCGGTTCTTGTGAGAAATTCAGAGAGACTGAGTTCGAGAATGGATGAGTTCAAGTCTGGTGCGAGTGTTATAATTGAGAAGCTGAGTTTCTGAGGAGTCGCCTATTAAAAATCAAAGCAAGTTAATGTCGTGGAGGCAGTGTTTCATGTTGATCGCACTGGGCTGGAGCATTTGCTTTCTATGCATAAATCTTTTGTTACTTGTAACTGGTAGCTTTACAGAAACTATGTACGTGAACTTTAAATTCCAAAGCATAAACATCATTTGCCTTAACTTGTGCCGTAAGTTTGTCAGCGAATGAAGGCACATTTATGAGGATAGATCAAGCTGTGTTTACTATATAGTTTTTTATCAATTTTAATAATCATAACCAAAAAGTAAAGTGCTCCGGAATATTTCAAAACCTCGTGTCAATAACAGAAAGTTCAAATAAAAATACATGAAGAATTCATTAAATCAAAAATATTCGGATGCTTTAGTTGACTCTTATATCAGCTAAAAATAAACTTAGTAAGTATACTATTAGAAACTATTACTTTAGTTTTTTTATGTATTTTTGTTCACTTGTTTCGTATACATGTCAAATGTTAGTGCCTGGTGAAATTGAAGCAACAAATTATGAAAATCAGGTCTAATAAACGTTAAATAGATAAACCGAACATCTCTCCAATAACAAAGACCAATAGTTTTGAAAAAAAAACAATAACCATAAAGTTTAAAATCAGATAGATAAAAAAAAACAAAAAAGGGAAAATAAACAGAGCATTATTCGGAAAGGAAGCAGATGTGGCTGTTCATGCTGTGGGGCTGGCCTCATTCCACATGGGCCTTCTTCCTTGCATTTTCATCAACATCAGATTCGACTCTAGCATGTCGTGGACGGTTTTCACTTGTAGCAGCGGACGTTGTTGGATTATTTGCACTATCACCATGGTTACCAACCTGACCATCAGTTTCTTGAGGCACACGTTCAGGATGAACTCCCTCAGGGACTTTTCCACCGTCCTATGAAACACGACATGTACCCAGGGAAAAATAGGTGTACACCAAGACACTAATAAATAACTGTACCCAGGGAAAAATTAAAATCTCAGATTCATCTTTAAAATCAAATATGTACAGAAGGTACTAATGAGCCTCAACTCTACGCTATGGATGTTCGGAAGATACTAACGGACCTCAAATCTGGAAGATACTAATGGGCCTCAAATCTGGAAAGATAAACATAGCCACAAAAAAAGCCACAACAGGCCCACTTCAAGACTTTCCATGTGTCATTTTTCCCCCAAGGAGAGATAAAAACTCAACTTTATTAGTTAAGATACCCAAAAATCGAAAAACTAAACAAAAAAAAAATAACTGAAATCTAGAATTTTGTCCATTAGTATCTGAAATTAACAGTTTTTTCAACAGGTTTTTGATTTTCGAACATGAATGACCTGAACCTAATAAGAACCAATCTGAAATCTGAAAAATATCATAAGTACTTACTGCATCCGTTTTTTCTACACCTGAAAGACATCCGCTAGGAACCGATCTGAAACCCATCCGAAGACCCGAATACCAAGACCTATTCTAGGCATTCAGTAAAATAATAAGTACATATTGAATCTCATTTTCTTACACCCGAAGGACTTAGATCTGATAGAAACCGATCTGAACCCCACCCGAAGATCACAATGCCAAGACCTATTCTAGACATTTAGTTACTTCAATTCTTTTTTTTAAATATAACCAAACCAAACAAAAATTAAACTGAACTAACCATACTAATAAAATTCGGAACCCAACTAAGCGAAATTAACAAAATTTATTCAAAATTTAAACCAAGATCTAACGCAAAAAACTTATGAATGAATTTAAAAACTGAACTAGCAGAGTACTGAACCAAATTTTATTTTGAATTAATTTAGTAAGATTTTTGTTAAACCGAATCTGAGCCGAATAATCCAAATTAATTGGACCCGCTTGCCTATGTCAAGTTATCGAGGTTACATGTTGCATCTGGATGTGTCTTTTGCTTTCTTCATGTTGAATTGTATTTTTTTTCACAGCAAGTGGTATCAGAGATTTAGGTTACGAAACCCTAAAGGATGACAAGTGGAAGTTCTCTAAAATCCGATGTTCCTAGGTTCGATGGAAAAGGGAATTTCGGTCTCTGGCAATGGAAAGTTAAAGATTTGCTTACGCAGCAATGGATGAAGAAAGCTCTGTTGGAGTTGAAACCGGAAGCCATAAGTCAGGATGATTGGGAAGAGATGCAAGATCAGGCTGGCTCAACGATTCAACTTTGTTTGTCGGATGACATAACATATCAGGTGATGGATCTCACAACTTGTAAAGAGATGTGAGATAAGTTGGAAAATATGTTATATGTCTTATACATTTAGCTAACTTCTTTTAAACCAATGCAACTCTTCAAATGAAAAAGACACATTGTTAAAATGAAAACACTTTTTTCATTTGTGTCTTATAATTACACATTTTTATTTGCACCCTTTCCGTTAACAGACATAAAAATGAGATATTTATGACAATTGACTATTTATATTTTTCAAAATCTATAAGAACTATCATGTTTTTCAGATTTGAGGTAGTTATTTTATATAGTACCTTTACAATATGATAACATCTTTAAAGTTAATACATTAAAAAAGTAATACATTTGAAAGAATAAACACATTAATAAGATGATAAAACTAATTCTTAAACATTTTCACAATATTACAGAATTTGTTACATTTTTAGGATGAAAAACACATTTTGAAAAGTGTATAGATGTTACTCTCAAACATTAAGGGTCTGACTGGTTTCCCCGCTACCACCCGCAAACGCAGCTTTTGCGGTTGATGGCGGTTGCTAGCGTTTTGTAACAATCACAAAAACCGCTATAAATCGCTTCAAACCGCTCCCAACCTCTTAAAATCAAAAGCTGGTTTCATCTAGCGTTTGCGTTTGCGGGCGATTGCGGGTGGGTAAAAAAACTATTTTTCTTTTAAATTTAAATTAAAATATAAAAATAAAAATAATATAACTAAAACTATATCTACCTTTTATTTTTAATTTAAATTCACTAAAAATATCATAATCTATTTATAAAAACTTTAAATCAAGAATTTTCACTATATTTTTCAATATTAAATATATAAATAGATAAATATATAAATATATAAATATATAAATATATAAATATATAAATATATAAATATATAAATATATAAATATATAAATATATAAATATATAAATATATAAATATATAAATATATAAATATATAAATATATAAATTATATTTATATATTTATATATTTATATATTTATATATTTATATATTTATAATAAATATATAAATATATAAATATATAAATATATAAATATATAAATATATAAATATATAAATATATAAATATATAAATATATAAATATATAAATATATAAATATATAAATATATAAATATATATAAATATATAAATATATATAAATATATAAATATATATAAATATATAAATATATATAAATATATAAATATATAAATATATATAAATATATATAAATATATAAATATATAAATATATATAAATATATATAAATATATAAATATATAAATATACATATATAAATAGATAAATAGATAAATATATAAATACATAAATATATAATTGATTATATTATATTATAATATTTTATTAATTATAGAAATTATATTTTCATCTAAATAAAAATAATATTTTTATTACTTATAATACATTAATAGTTATTATTTTTTTATCATAACAGTATGTTTTGATATTTTTATAATGTTATAATATGTTAATATTGGAAATTTATTATTGAACCGCTGTAGTATCTTGTAATCAACCAGTCATAAATGTCCCGTAAACGCACAAGTTTTTAATCGCTGTACCAGTCGTACAAATCGCCTAATAACGCTAGAAACCGCAACTACCCACATCCGCAAACTCCCGCAACCGCAATCGCATCTTTAGATAAAAAAATATATATATATATATATATATATTTTAAAAATTTATACAAAAGATTATGATCAAAGACACATTTTTATGAAAAACACCTCTTTCTACATTTTAACAACTTTTAAAAAATAAACGCAATGTTCAGGATAAAATAAATACAAATTGTAAAGAATAAAGCAAAAAAACATAACAAATATAATCCAAAGCTTATCATTTGTATGTAATATACATTTCTATGACGAAAAGACACATTTAAACATTTTTACAACTTTTTCAATAGTTACATGTGGAAAAGACACAACTTTTCAAAATTAATTGAGATTCCAATAAACGTAAAATGATGCAGCTTTTCATCTTAAATATTGCATTAGTTCTTATAGATTGTGAAATATATAAAGAGATGTTTTTTCATAAAAAATATATAAATAGTCATAACTTTTCATAATTTTAGGTAGTTATTTAAAATATCACATTTATGATGGAAAGATATAATTCTTTAAACTAAAAGATCTATTAATATATTTTTATAATGAAAAGATACATATTAACATTTATTCATAAACTTTTACAATAGTCCCATACACAACTTTTAATGAAAAGACACCTTAATATATAATGAAAAATACAATTTTTAACAAGAATTAAGATTCAAGCACATTACCTTTTAATATTAATTGGGATTGCTATTAATAATAGATTAATAAAAAATTTAAACATTATAAGATTTCAATCAATAAATAAAAAAATAAAATTACAACTAAACTTTTTTTTTAGTTTGTGTGTAAAATTGTGTATCACAGACACCACCAGTCCCAATCATATGGTTGCAGAATTCAAACAAGTTCAGATTAGATTTGCATTCAATAACATCCTTTGCGTTTATTAAAGGACCTCTCCCACAACATATAAATGGAGAGAACCAGCGAGTTAACCACTCGATTAAACAACCCAAAAGGAAAACCAAACCAGAGTAGTCCACTCACATTGATAAGTTTAAAAAGTTAAAGCTTGGAACATGCTGGTTTATCAAGAAACCAAACAAGCTCCTCTTCAGCAGAAACCAAACCCGCAGGTGGTACACTCCCAGTCTTGTTCAGAGCCGCCTGCACTGCCTCAGCTTTCCCTGAACCGCAAACCACTAAAGCCACATGCGCAGAGGAGTTGATAACCAGGAATGTGAAGGTGATTCTCTCAGACGGCGGCTTTGGAGAGTCTGTGATGGAAGCCACCCATTTGTTGCTCTCGCTGCAGAGACCATGCCCTGGGAAAAGTGAAGCTACGTGGCCATCGGGGCCCATACCGAGAAGCATGAGGTCGAACTTGGGGAAGCCGGTTGATTCAGAGACACGGAGGATGTTGGTTTTGACCAAGTGTTTGAGGCATGTCTCGTAATCGTCCGCTGCTGCCTCAGCAGAGAGGGATTCATTGATTGCGTATACGTTTCCAGGAGGAATTGGAACCTGGAAAGAAAGTGAAGAAGCTTAGATGTTACAAGAAACATGCCTTTACAAGGCAATGATCATGTGGGAGGAAGAATAGAACGTTGAATACCTTGGAAAGGAAATTATCATAAGCAAGTTTGTAGTTGCTGTCATCGTGATTCTTGGGAACAACTCTCTCGTCCACCCAGAAAAAATGCCACCTTGACCAATCAATTGACTCAACCTCTACTAACTTCCTGAAAATTTGAAACCATCATTTTCATCACAAGTAAGCATTACTAGGAAAGTAGTTGTAAGTCCAATGCTAAAAGCTATGTTCTTGATTAATCATAACTACAAAATCAACTCTCCATATACCTAAATAATCAAATCTGAAAGCTCGTGGTCTGAATCGAAAATAGGTAACACAGACATACATACCGGAGAGATTTGATTAAGGAGCCGCCAGAGACAACGACAGTGAAAGCGCCTCTCTCCTTACAAAACTTGTCGGAGAGATCAGATGTGTATTTAGCCAAATCAATCGCCAGATTCTCCTCGGTGTCGTAAATCTCCACTCTCTTCTTATTCTCCTCTTTCCCTGTTCCCGACGCCGTCGAAGCCATACTCCTTACTTCCGACAACTTTCTCCGACACTCACCTAATCTCCTGATAGATCCACTTCCGAGCGACAAACGAGACGGAGTAGAAGGGGAAGAGCAAGTCAGATTCTTCGGGAAGAAAGCTGAGAGAGGATCTGATCGAGATGGGAGGTTAGTGGGTAGCGAGGAGAAGAGAATCGAGCGATGGAAACAAGAAGAAGCCATGGAGACAAAAAAGTGTGAGCTTTTTTATAGGTAAAGTGAGTAACTTTGACTTGGTGGAGTTAAGAGGACAAGTGGGATTAATATCCCGACCAAACACATATGCTGTGTCTCCTCAATCGTGGACCGAAGCGGTTCGGTTAGATAGATAAACCGTAGGGGTGGGCACAAGCCTAGTACCAGGTATTTTCGGTATATTTAGTACTCGGCTTGGCTTATACAAGTATTTAAATTTTGGACTTGTACTTTGTTAAAAACAAGTATGAAAAATTGATAGACTTGCAAGTTACTTGTCTTGTTTTATTACTTGTTATTTGTAAACTTTTTACAAATTACTTGATAACTATTACTCATTCCGTTTCAAATTATATGTCATTCTAGAATAAAAATTTCGTTTCAAAATATGTGTCGTTTTATAATTTCAATGCAAATTTATTAATTTTAAATGTCATTCTATTTTTTCATTGGTTGAAAAGTGGTTAGGTGTATAGGTAATTGTGTTTTTATTTTGAAAATATGTAAAATTAATTGTTTTCTTAATATGTGTGCAAATGCATAGAATGACAATTAAACTGAAATAGAGGTAATAGTAAATTATTTGAAAATTAGTTAAAATTTAAAAGTAAATAAATTTATTATATATAAATAATATGTCATTGTTTTCATTTAGTCATTGTTTTTTTTCTGACTTTTAGTCATTGAAATATATTATATTAAGAAATAAAAATTTCAAAATGTTTATATACATATATCACTTATGTTTGATTCACTTATAATTTAAATAAAAAGGAGTTGTTTTACTATGATTTAAGAAAATGTATCTTTGTTAATTAACAAAAATGAATAATAAACCAACGCTGAATAATTAGTTTTATTTTATTATCTTGTATTTGTTTGTATTTAAAAGTAGTTTAAATAGACTACTTGATACACATCTTAGTCAAAACAAGTATTCGACTTTAAAGATTGTGTACCAACCAAGTAGTGAACATGAGATAAACAACAAGTAACTGTGGCCACTCATAAAATATTTTTTTTTTAATTAATTAATGAAATATATACTAAATATTTAATAAACCAAGTTATATATGACAAGTAACAAATAAAGGATAACAAGTAATAAACTAAATAACAAACCAAGCAGTTAAAAATTAAAATGAACTTGATACTTTACTTGTACTTGCGAGTAATAAAATCCATTTACTTGTTACTCGACTTGATTGGAGCAAATACTTGTTTTTTCAAACCAAACCGAGTCAAGTAACGAATATAAACCAAGTATCAAGCATTTGTGCCCAACCCTAATAAACCGTGTAAAAAACGGTTTCGCTTTTGCCTTCAATTCGATAGTCTCAGGCGTTACTATTCTATCAACATGTACTTAATGTTTCATAATTGAAAATATAATATATATATATATATATATATATATATATATATATATATATATATACAAAATAAAGCTTATCAACTAATCATTAAACTCAACATGAAAATATAAACCCTAATTTCACTAAATCCAACACGGGAATATAAGCCATATGCCAAATTTTGAAATATTAGTAAGCTGCATTTCATTCTACATGAAGCATATAAAATAGAAAATGTGAAAATATAATTACAAGCGAAAGACCATCTAAAATATTTTTCAAATTATACACCAAATGAGAGATCACTCTAACAGCTGTTTTGATATATATAGACACACACATCAAATATGCAGTTAATTGCATAACAAAATACTTTCATTTCTTTTAGAGTTCACGATCTATTTCTCCGCAAGAAGTATAGTATAGCATCAGATCTACATCATGCCTCGTGTTATATCTCTTTGAACTGAAACTTCTAAACTTTAAACCACACCAACTTATATTTTTAAATCTAAAAACGCAAACCCAGATTAATTTGGTTTACTGTTTACCACTTAACCGTTAAAATCTAATAATAAACCAAAATTAAATCTAATCAGACCCAAACCAGGTTTAACCCAAAATAAGTTTACTTTACCGAAAAATGGAGTTGAAAATTTGTTTCTTCTTCTTCTTCTTCTTCTTCTTCTTCTTCTTCTTCTTCTTTTCCTCCTTTACCATCTGGATGTGAACTAGTCATATGAGATTTGTGTGACAATATTACAGATGTTCGAGATGTAATTGACTACGTTATATCACTCTTTTGTGTGTTGTCTTGTAGAGAAATCGAAAATGGAGAACAAGACTCTGCTTTCTTATTATTTTTCTTTTTCTTCTTTTGTCTCGACGTTCTTTTATTAATTTGGATTGACAATCTATTTCCCCACAAGAAGTATCGTATAACATCAGATCCACACCAAAGTAATGCCTTGTGTTAAATCTTCCTAGATATAAACTTCAAAATCTATATCTCCCTGAACTGAAACTTCTAAGCTTTAAACCACACAAACTTATATTTTTAAATCTAAAACACACATAAACCCAGATTAATTTGGTTTACTGTTTACCACTTAGCCATTAAAATCTTATAAGAAATCAAAATTAAATCTAATCAGACCCACACTAGATCTAACCCAAAATAAGCTGACTTTACAGAAAAATGGAATTGACAATTTGTTTCTTCTTCTTCTTCTTCCTTTACCATCTGGATGTGAACTAGTCATATGAGATTTGTGTGATAATGTTTCAGATGTTTGAGACGTAATTGGCTATGTTTATATCACTCTTTTGTGTGTTGTCTTGTAGAGAAACAGAAAATGGAGAACAAAACTCTGATTTCTTATTCTTTTTCTCTCTACATTATTTTTATTAATTCATTAACAATACAATATTTGATTCTAAAGAAACTTATTGGTTTGGATATTATACAGAAGAAGGTCTCTTTCTCTCTTTGTTGTGTCATATGTGTTTGATTTGGATCGAAATGGTTTGGCATGACGTTCTCTTGGAGATTTTGTAGGAACATGTGGGGGAGGAGCTGATGGGCTTAAAGATTACACTTGCGTACCTTTTTCTGCAAATTTCAACTCGGGTGAAAAAAAAGACTAGTGGGTTGGGTCAATTTAGGTTGTTTCAAATTTAGATTCATTTAGGTTTAGTTGGGTTTAAAGTCAGAGATTGGTTCATTCTTGGTTTGTAGACAATAGCCGTTTTTTTTTTTTTGTGTATTAAAGTTTAGAAGTTTCGGTTCGGGGAGATATAGATTTCGAACTTTATTTTCAGGAAGATTTAACACGAGACATTACTTTTGTGTGGATGTGATGCTATACAATACTTCTCGTGGGAAAATAGATTGTTATCCCACTTTTCCTTGATGTTGGTTTATTATTTGATTTACTGATTTTACAAAGGAGTTAACTCAAAAATATAACTCAACTTTATCACATAATAACTCAAGCAAAAAATAAAAAAAAAAAATCAAAATTAATTCATGATTGGTAATGTTTTTGATTTATACCCATAACATGAGATTTTTGTTGATGTTGCTTTTTGATTTGAGTTATCATTTCTGCAAAGCTATAACTCAAAATTGCAACTCAACAATAATCAATTATTACTTAAACTAGATTTTTGACCTTTTAAGTGCGGGTACTATTTTTGTTGTTTTATCTATATAAATCTTTTGCTTTGATGATATAAAATGTCACTGTCTAATATAACTTTTTCAAATTAATACAGATTTTAATTTATTGTTATCATCAATATCTATGTAAATTTATTATATGTAATTGTGTAGTTTTAATATGGGAAAACAATATAAATTAACTATGCCTAGTGCTGGGAAGCGGGTCAAACTCGTCATGCCTGACCAGCACATCCGTCCCATTAATTTTACAGGTAATCCGCGGGACCCGTAGATAATTATTAAATAATAAAAATATTTTTTTTTCATTTTTTTCTAAAAAATAATATTAAATTGTATATTTTTAATTAAATCTTTAATATTTAAAATATAATAATTATTTTAACAAAATTTAGTATATTTTGAAAAATAAACTTTTTAAAAACAAAATTGTTTTTCTATTGTTGCGTATTACCGTGTATTCGCAATTGAAATTAGAACAATCCGCACATGTTCCGCGTAAAATACATTTGACGCACACCCGCAACTTAATTCTTTTCAAATCGATCGACCCATTTCGTGGTGGATAAAATAGGACGAGACTTGCAGGCAATATCAAAATTTGCAGTTCTAATTAACTACACCAATTAATGTTGATGTATTTATTTTTAAAGAAATTTCAGAAATAATTAGAAAATGAATTGAGTCCATTAATGAAACCCATTAGTATATAGTTTTAGTCCAAAAAAAAAACAAAATTATCATTAATGAAAAAATAAATTTACTCATAAGATTAAGGATAAATTTGGAAAAAAATAAATCATTCATTAAAGAGAATGTTTATGTTTTAATGGTATTGATACAACTTTAAAATTTCAAAAGTAATTCATGATTGATAGTGATTTGTATGCTTAACTCAAACTAAATAGTGTGTAATGCATTATACCAATTAAAGCCTAGTGAGAGAGTGAGTGTAATCATAAACGGAATATTAACATATGTTGCCAATGAACAAAGGAGCCAATCAAAATTCCTTTAAAATCTCACTATAATCTAGCCTACAAACCTAGGCATAATCACGATTAACTGAAATCGCAAACACAAAGACTAAAAAACTCAGACAAAAGTTGAAATTAGTTTATGAGACAAACAAAAAGTTGTAACCTTTAGCTCCATGGATTGCATAAGGGTTTGATCAATCGACCCAGCATCGTTGTTTTGAGAGGATCTAGTACTAAAATTGCGGCTGCGAATTTCAACAGCATTAAACCCAGTAATCCTATAAACTCTGTTTCCGTAAATATCTTGTACTCTATTTTGGAAAGGGCAATTCTCTTAAATAGCTTTTTTTTTAAAAGTTTTTATCACAAAAATAGACCTCAAAAATTAAAATGATCAAAATAACACTTTTTATTTTGAAAATTTTAAATTTTTATTTTTTATTTTTTAAAATTTGAAACTCTATCCCCAAAACCTCACATTTCAACTCTAAACAAAAAAATCTAGGT